GCTCGGAAGGACGAGCAAGGTCCAAAACCACGCGAAAAAACTCCCTAACGTGTCGTCTGGAAATCTAGAAAAACAGCATTTGTCGACAGATTCTGTTGCCTGCGGCTGCTCGCAGAACTGATGGCGGCGGCTGCTGCTGCTGCTGATGCCGGTAAAACAGCTTCGAAAAAAGCAGCTCCCGGCAGCAAAACACCATGGCTCTGAAGGACGAGCAAGGTCCAGAACCACGCCAAAAAACTCCCTAACGTGTCTTCTGAAATCCTAGAAAAACAGCACATTGTCGAGAGATTGTCAAGAGATTCTGTTGCCTGCGGCTGCTCGCAGGACTGGTGGCGACGGTTGCTGCTGCTGATGCCGGTAAAACAGCTTCGAAAAAAGCAGCCCCCGGCCGCAAAACACCATAGCTCTGAAGGACGAGCAAGGTCGAAAGATTCTGTTACCTGCGGCTGCTCGCAGAACTGGTGGCGGCGGCTGCTGCTGCTGATGCCGGTAAAACAGCTTCGAAAAAAGCAGCTCCCGGCAGCAAAACACCATGGCTCGGAAGGACGAACAAGGTCCAAAACCACGCGAAAAAACTCCCTAACGTGTCGTCTGGAAATCTAGAAAAATCTAGAAAAACAGCATTTGTCGAGAGATTCTGTTGCCTGCGGCTGCTGCTGCTGATGCCGGTAAAACAGCTTCGAAAAAAGCAGCCCCCGGCAGCAAAACACCATGGCTCTAAAGGACGAGCAAGGTCGAAAGATTCTGTTGCCTGCGGCTGCTCGCAGAACTGGTGGCGGCGGCTGCTGCTGCTGATGCCGGTAAAACAGCTTCGAAAAAAGCAGCTCCCGGCAGCAAAACACCATGGCTCGGAAGGACGAGCAAGGTCCAAAACCACGCGAAAAAACTCCCTAACGTGTCGTCTGGAAATCTAGAAAAACAGCATTTGTCGACAGATTCTGTTGCCTGCGGCTGCTCGCAGAACTGGTGGCGGCGGCTGCTGCTGCTGATGCCGGTAAAACAGCTTCGAAAAAAGCAGCTCCCGGCAGCAAAACACCATGGCTCGGAAGGACGAGCAAGGTCCAAAACCACGCGAAAAAACTCCCTAACGTGTCGTCTGGAAATCTAGAAAAACAGCATTTGTCGACAGATTCTGTTGCCTGCGGCTGCTCGCAGAACTGGTGGCGGCGGCTGCTGCTGCTGATGTCGTTTGAAATCCTGGAAAAACAGCTTTTTTCGAGAGAGTCTGTCGCCTGCAGCTGCTCGCAGGTGGCGGCTGCTGCTGCTGATGCCGGTACAATAGCTTCGAAAAAAGCAGCTCCCGGCAGCAAAACACCATGGCTCCGAAGGACGAGCAAGTTCCAGAACCACGCCAAAAAACCCCCCAAACGTGTCGTCTGAAATGCTAGAAAAAATGTGCTAGAAAAACAGCAAAAAAACAGCATAGAAACAGCATAGAAAAACAGCATTTGTCGATTGTCGAGAGATTCTGTCGCCTACGGCTGCTCGCACGACTGGTGGCGGCGGCTGCTGCTGCTGATGCCAGTAAACCAGCTTCGAAAAAAGCAGCTCCCGGCAGCAAAACACCATGGCTCTGAAGGACGAGCAAGGTCCAGAACCACGCCAAAAAACTCCCTAACGTGTCGTCTGAAATCTAGAAAAACAGCACATTGTCGACAGATTCTGTTGCCTGCGGCTGCTCGCAGAACTGGTGGCGGCGGCTGCTGCTGCTGATGCCGGTAAAACAGCTTCGAAAAAAGCAGCTCCCGGCAGCAAAACACCATGGCTCTGAAGGACGAGCAAGGTCCAGAACCACGCCAAAAAACTCCCTAACGTGTCGTCTGAAATCCTAGAAAAACAGCACATTGTCGAGAGATTGTCAAGAGATTCTGTTGCCTGCGGCTGCTCGCAGGACTGGTGGCGACGGTTGCTGCTGCTGATGCCGGTAAAACAGCTTCGAAAAAAGCAGCCCCCGGCAGCAAAACACCATAGCTCTGAAGGACGAGCAAGGTCGAAAGATTCTGTTACCTGCGGCTGCTCGCAGAACTGGTGGCAGCGGCTGCTGCTGCTGATGCCGGTAAAACAGCTTCGAAAAAGCAGCTCCCGGCAGCAAAACACCATGGCTCGGAAGGACGAGCAAGGTCCAAAACCACGCGAAAAAACTCCCTAACGTGTCGTCTGGAAATCTAGAAAAATCTAGAAAAACAGCATTTGTCGAGAGATTCTGTTGCCTGCGGCTGCTGCTGCTGATGCCGGTAAAACAGCTTCGAAAAAAGCAGCCCCCGGCAGCAAAACACCATGGCTCTGAAGGACGAGCAAGGTCGAAAGATTCTGTTGCCTGCGTTGCCTGCGGCTGCTCGCAGAACTGGTGGCGGCGGCTGCTGCTGCTGATGCCGGTAAAACAGCTTCGAAAAAAGCAGCTCCCGGCAGCAAAACACCATGGCTCGGAAGGACGAGCAAGGTCCAAAACCACGCGAAAAAACTCCCTAACGTGTCGTCTGGAAATCTAGAAAAACAGCATTTGTCGACAGATTCTGTTGCCTGCGGCTGCTCGCAGAACTGGTGGCGGCGGCTGCTGCTGCTGATGCCGGTAAAACAGCTTCGAAAAAAGCAGCTCCCGGCAGCAAAACACCATGGCTCTGAAGGACGAGCAAGGTCCAGAACCACGCCAAAAAACTCCCTAACGTGTCGTCTGAAATCCTAGAAAAACAGCACATTGTCGAGAGATTGTCAAGAGATTCTGTTGCCTGCGGCTGCTCGCAGGACTGGTGGCGACGGTTGCTGCTGCTGATGCCGGTAAAACAGCTTCGAAAAAAGCAGCCCCCGGCAGCAAAACACCATAGCTCTGAAGGACGAGCAAGGTCGAAAGATTCTGTTACCTGCGGCTGCTCGCAGAACTGGTGGCGGCGGCTGCTGCTGCTGATGCCGGTAAAACAGCTTCGAAAAAAGCAGCTCCCGGCAGCAAAACACCATGGCTCGGAAGGACGAGCAAGGTCCAAAACCACGCGAAAAAACTCCCTAACGTGTCGTCTGGAAATCTAGAAAAATCTAGAAAAACAGCATTTGTCGAGAGATTCTGTTGCCTGCGGCTGCTGCTGCTGATGCCGGTAAAACAGCTTCGAAAAAAGCAGCCCCCGGCAGCAAAACACCATGGCTCTGAAGGACGAGCAAGGTCGAAAGATTCTGTTGCCTGCGTTGCCTGCGGCTGCTCGCAGAACTGGTGGCGGCGGCTGCTGCTGCTGATGCCGGTAAAACAGCTTCGAAAAAAGCAGCTCCCGGCAGCAAAACACCATGGCTCGGAAGGACGAGCAAGGTCCAAAACCACGCGAAAAAACTCCCTAACGTGTCGTCTGGAAATCTAGAAAAACAGCATTTGTCGACAGATTCTGTTGCCTGCGGCTGCTCGCAGAACTGGTGGCGGCGGCTGCTGCTGCTGATGCCGGTAAAACAGCTTCGAAAAAAGCAGCTCCCGGCAGCAAAACACCATGGCTCGGAAGGACGAGCAAGATCCAAAACCACGCGAAAAAAAACTCCCTAACGTGTCGTCTGGAAATCTAGAAAAACAGCATTTGTCGACAGATTCTGTTGCCTGCGGCTGCTCGCAGAACTGGTGGCGGCGGCTGCTGCTGCTGATGCCGGTAAAACAGCTTCGAAAAAAGCAGCTCCCGGCAGCAAAACACCATCGCTCTGAAGGACGAGCAAGGTCCAGAACCACGCCAAAAAACTCCCTAACGTGTCGTCTGAAATCCTAGTCGCGGCACCACTTTTCTAGCTTTATTTCCCGGCGGCCCTCTAGAAAGGAGGATGGAACGCAGACATGCAACACATGCCACGCTGCGAAGGTGCAGCGTGCAGTCCGCAAGCGCGCAGCTGCTTCCAGTGCAGCTCGCCTCGAACCTCTCCGGAAAAGATTGCGCCACAGGCAAATTATCCAGGAGACATGGGAAGCAATTGCTCGGAAACGTAGTCGCACCACGATTCCTGTTGAAAAATGCGTTGAAAATACAGCAGGGCCCACTATCTCGCAGAGAAAGCCGGTCTATGAATATATATGTCCTCATTGTGAGACACAGGTCCGTAGTACTGTCACTGATGGACAAGTTGATGCGAAACAACAGCATTGTGGTGTCCGCTTCCGTGTTCGCGGTGGCACAGTGATTCAGAGCTTTTTCACACATCAGTGTCCAGCATGTTTAACAGAAGTGCAAAGCACGAAACGCTTTGGCCGCATACGGGTAGCGCACAAAAAACGAAACGGGAAAAGATGTGGAACAAAATGTTGGCAAGTAGTATGCTCCGGTACCAAAGACACGACTTGATCTAAGAAAATTGCAGCCTAACCCTGAAGCTTATGGACTATCGAGAGCACAGCAGAGGTGGCACATGGTTGTTGTTGTCGCTCCCCCTTGCATCGGCCGGGGTCAGCGAATTATTATTATTCTTTCCTGGCAGCTGTGTCATAAACTCTTTTTCCCTTACGCACTCCCCCTTGCGTCTGCCGGGGTCGGCGGATACCACTGTTTGTACAATGAGACATAGAACCTCGAGGATGCGGCCTCGAACGAACAAATCAGAGCGGGAAGGGCAACCCAAGGAGCCCCACGTACCTCGAGGAGACTCCGGGAAGGACCCCCCACCGGTAAAACAAAAACCCCGGAGTCAATGAATCGACGTACGTGACCGGTGGGAGGGGGACCCAACAGGGTCCCCCGGCAAAGGGTCATTGTTGTTGTTGTTGTTGTTGTTCTTGTTGTTGTTGTTGTTCTTGTTGTGTTGTTGTTGTTGTTGTTGTTGTTGTTGTTGTGGTTGTGTGTGCTGCTGCTGCTGCTGCTGCTGCTGCTGTTTCTATCTACTGTAGCTGCAGTAGTATAGTAGTAGTCGCAATGTCTTATTCCCTGGCGCGCTCCCCCTTGCGTCTGCCGGGGTCGGCGGATACAGTATTCTCAGTATTCTTTGTTTGGGATGACGACTGACCCACCCCCAAGAAGCGTCCGCCCTCGGCGTCCCGTTTTTTTCCGCAGGTCGGAAAGTACACCTTCTCCGCCGAGGCGGTCGGGGATGACGCCAAGGTGGGACCTGGGATGGGATCCATGGTGAACACCACCGGACAGATGGTGCTGGACCCATGAAATAAGGAAATCAACTGCATCCAATGGCGGGATTAGAATTCAGTTATACACTTTATGCATATCAATCTATAAACTTTAAAACTTAATTTTCAAAGTTCCAGTTCAACGAGGTCATAGAACGCCGAGTTGCAGGATGCAGCCACTGAGTTTGAGTTTGTGGCCATGGCCACTGAGAACGAATCTGTGGTTTCCTTCTCAGTTTCTCAATTGCTGGATATTGCTGACATCCAACTAGTGTAATTTGTGCAACTAGTGTTCCAGATGCAGCAGCCCAGGTCCGTTGTTTTCCAGCCACAGGACGAACTCATCAGATCAGTTGGAAGCTCAGCTTGGGACCATCGACCCATCCTGGACTCATCCCAGCTGGAAAAACCGAGGAGTCCACCTCCTCCACTTGGGATTTCCCATCGCAAATGACAGTTGCTATGGGGGTGAGCTGCGCCAGGTTGTGGACCTAGGATGATCTCTTCCGAATCTAAGAATCTAAGATTATACTAGTACGATCTATATCTATATATATCTATATCTACATCTACATCTATATCTACATCTACATCTATATCTGTATATGTCTATACATACACATGTATACAGTACACACGAATTCTTTACTAGCCGGCGATCATCTGGGTTGGACATCGTCCTGAGAGAAGCTCAGGATTGCACCCTGCCGCTGATTCCTCACGTTCGACAAGAGGCTTGATGGATAGGAGAGAACTGCAAGCATGCAGCACATATTCCCACATTGTTTGTAAATTTCCTGCAACAACTCAGAAACGTATCACGGGGACCTATCATGTCCATTCATGTCCATCCTTGCAATCACTGGGAGGCCCATCTGGATAAAGGTCAGTCTGCGGAACCAGAGGCTTCTTTGACTTAAGACATGCGCCTGCAGCATGAGGAAGCATGACGAAGCATGCCCATGGTGCCATGGTGCAAACATAGTGACTAAGGAAGCGGCCACGATGCATCCCAGTGGCTTGGTCATCGAATGAGAGATGAACGAAACAGCCTCCGAGGCTTAGCGGATCTTAGCGGCTAAACCTGAATTAGCTGCCTTCAGCATTGCTGAGCCCAGCCGCTGGCCGAGGTGGCATCTTTCTTCATGCCCTGACCTATGCTCTGCCGGACGGCAGCTCTTTCACGTCCAAGGCCCTGGAAATGTCGGGTGCCTAGTTTGGTGGAAGCAGTTCCTGTGACAGGCTCCGACCTGGGCCTTGGTGAGTAGCGTTGAATCGCTGGTGTCACCCTCGTAGTTTCAGTAGACGACAGCATAGACATCTTGGAGAAAAAGACAGCTGCAGAAGTGCCAGATCCTAAATTTACCTACGCACAATAATTCACTATGGCTCTGTGTGCCACCAAGTAGATAGATTTAAAGTGGGACAATGATCCACAGCTGGATATATAGCATTTGTCATTCTGCTACCCTTGGCAGCAAAGAACGAGTCATTGTGCACCAAATTCGAAGTATCACAATCATTTTTTCGGTACCGAAACGGTGTATACTTCTGAGATTTTTGGGTATTACATATTTCTGGAGCCAAGCCGGTGCGTTTTTGCTCACTTGCTTTCCTGCGGATCTCTCGTTGGCTCCGAGCTAAGATTTGGAATCATGAATCAACCATAGGAGCCAGGAGCTGGTCCTGCTTTGCATCCGTCGTTTTGCAACTAAGCACACGAAGCACATGCATTTTAAAGTTTTGTGACACCCCAAACATGGGCGGGGCGGCGTTCGATTAAATTGATTAGCAAGCTGTACTCTTTTGGCGTAATCAAGCCATGAGTGTTTTTTCTTTAATAAATAACTGGCAGCTGGCAGCTGTACTTTGGTTTGTTCCTAGTTGTACCGGCTCTTCCAAATTAAGACTTGATTCCATGGCGTGCCACCTCCAAGCAGCGGTTCACACTGCCTTCATGCCGCGTGACAGCTGCAGTCAGCAAGACCTTTTGCTGCGACATTTTGGAGGGAGCCTTTGCATTCGCTTATGGTCTCAGTCCGGAGAATTTCAGGCGCAGTATATGATTGGATGTAATTGAGAAGTGTTCAACCCCTCTTTCGGATGATCATTATAAAGGTTATACTACCCAAATCTACCCATTTTGTTACTCAACATATTGTGGTCACAATCCATGTGTGAAAGTTGGGGCTCAGCAGGTTATGCTGCACGATCTGCTATGCAGTGGAGACCGACCTTGACCGACCTTGACCAGCCACCAGCCACCAGTGCGACACCAAGATGGCCATGGCTGCCATGGCAGCTGTGCACCTGCAGCCGCCTGTGGCCAAGACAGCAAGTTGTGTAAGGCGAAGCAAAGGCAGCTAAGGCCGTGGTATCGGCTGGAACACTCAGGAGACCACGATAATTGAGTGACTGATGACAGTCAACAAGCTCAACTGAAGCAACTAACTTGCTCCATGTTAATGTTGATGACATGATGCCAGTTTTCAACACCGGCAATTTGAATGAAGGACTCTGAACGATCGATGCGGAGAAGCTTTGATGCCTCAGAATGGAGGGGAGCACTTGACCTTTTCGAGGCCAGGCAAATCTCACTTGATTTTGAGGGTTTGATAGTTGCTGATCAAAATGATGGGAGGGAACTGGAAAAGCTGCAGATATTGACCTTCTTGAACTCGCGTCCTCACTCTCTTGCTCCAGTAGATGATTTAAAAGCCCAACTGCTGGAAGGCGAATGCAGCGCTGGCTGTGCGGAAGGACCGCAAAAGACAGGTTGCAGAAATTCCTTCCAGAGAGATCCGCAGAGATAAAGGAAGAGAAACTCAGGTTCAAGAGACAGAGTTTGAGTAATCCCAAAGTTGATACATGTTCATCTCGTGTCAGTTTTTCACCTGGGTCAAAATGAGGTACCCCAAAGTACCCCAAAAGTGGGGTGGATCATGGTGGATCATGGTGGATCAATGCAAGAAATGGACCTTCCATCAGTGATTCCTTGGACCTTCCATCTTCGTCACAGGATGCCCGCGATTTTGGTCAGGCATCGGCCTTGGTGAAGATAGTGCTGTGAGTGCCCAGGATGTGTCAACACTATGGATTTATTCTGTTTGAGATCCCCCCAAAAGATCCAAAAGGGATGTTGATTTTATGCTATTTTCATATGTTTCAACACGTTTCAATGACTAAAAAGATCTAAAAGTGACAAATTCTGTAGGTACATTGGTACCCCCAATAACTTCTGAAGCCGCGGATCAAGGCGATCACCAAGTGCCACTGGGAGATAGCCAGCACCTTGCTGCGAGAGATGGAGGCGAAATTGCACATTTTCGGAGTCGAAAGTGGAGCATCATGTGGATATTATGATGGGGATGTAGTGACTATAGTGGGGATATACCGATATTAAGGTGAATATTTACAGGTAAACTAGTGGTCGTAATTATGAAACACCATGGGGGAATTGAGGGTACCCCATGTGTTCAGAATCCATAGCCATATGCTGCCAGGCCCATGACGTCCAGCAGAATGTGATCATCTTTGGAAGCTTAGTGAACGTTTACAAGGAGGTCTGCCCGAATGGGTTGCAATCTTTGTTAGTGTTGGCTCATGTTGGCTCCATTGTCGCGCCAGGTGTCCATGTGGTCTTGCTCACTTCAGGCCATTGCTATTTTCAGAATTGAGAAGTGGGTTGATCTGAAAAGAACGAGTGCACCCAAATCCAGTCGTTGATGATCCCCAAAGACCCAAAGATCATTTTCCCCATAAAAACCCTGTTGTTTGGGGCAGACCCGAGTGCCGTGTATTGCTCCGCAGGCGCTGCAAAGGAGCTTGGATGTCGGATTGCAGGGTAGTGTCATCTCCATCAACGCACTGGTCTCATGTTCGAGAAGAACGAGAGAGAGAGAGACCTGGTTCACGTTCATGATGGATGAAATGGTTCTGTCCCGAAATTGGAGACTCTTAAACGCCCTAAACTCCCTTTTTTCCCCTCAATGCCTCAATGATGTGTTGATCAATACACGCTCAACGGTGGGTAGGAGCCCCACTTCCCAAGGCCGCACTCAGCGCCTGTGGCCGTGCAGTTGCATGGCAGTCTGCACTTGAAATGCTGGTTGGGAACCCATGAAATTGGCAAATCCATTGAACCATTTTTTAAATCCATTTTGTGGTAGGTTGACTGACTTTGTGCTGATTGCTTAGTCATGCTTAGTCACTGATTGGCATTCTTACAATAGATACATGTTATTGTTGGATATTGTTGGTTGGTGATTTTTATTTTGGTCTGTTGGTTGGTGGACAGGTTTTCTGTTTTCAAGGGTCTCCAAAGTTTACATCAGCCATGTTGATCCATGTTGCCGAGGTCAACATGTCTTCCCACTGTGATGTGGTGAGACGCTCTGCCCAAGAGAGCTGTGACTGGACAACTGGTGTCAGATTTATTTTACCTACCAAACTTGAGAATGTAGCGAGTATGAACGGCAGATATCCAATGATATCCGATTTGTTAATGGTTTCACAGTCTTTCCTACAGCGTACGGTATTTTCCATCATTCCATCCTTGAGATGGGAGGATGAGTCCAACTGAATAAGCCATAAACTGCTCCAAGGTGTCTTACAATGCCGCTATTGCTGCCTGCACCAAAGGCAATTTGGGTCATCTTGAGTTGAAGGAAGTCTCCACAGTGAGTTCTTTGGCATGTGCCAGGCATGCAGACAGATTTGGTGCTTCATCTCATGATGGAGATGCAGGAGAACTGCTTCCATGAAACCCACAGTGGCGTTTACCAGCGCTAGTTGAGAGTTGCCAGAATTGTAATCCATTTTTCTCCAACAACGCAGCCACCTCCAAGCTAAGAAACTGGGCGAAGACGGCGTAGGCGAATGCCATTTAATTTGAATGCAAGCATCACTCAATCAAAAGAACTCATGTAAAGGTGGCACAAAATTGAGCGGATTATTTTTTGCAGCAAATCTGGAGGCACACCCCATCAAGAAAGCGAAGATATGATCCGGAAAATGGAATGAACGAGAAATGTGCAGGGAAGCTACGTGGCAAAATCCAAAACTCAACAAATGTGTAGATCTCAGGGCATTAATGGACAGCTGGTGGGATTGGAACAGTCGCATGGCAGCTCGCTTGAACCTTTGGACAAGCACTTTCAAAGTCATGGATTGATTTATGAAACCCGGAAAGTATCCAAACTGGAAAACAAAATCTGCCATGATTTCAACCCACGACGTTCTATGGATGGATCTATGCGATCCAACGACCCATGCCGATTGGGAGAAAAATTCACAAATAGCGCCAGCTGCGCTGGGGCTAAGCCGCATGGGTCCGGCAGCCAAAAATGCAGGATCTGGACTTGTGACTAATGGCTGCCACATTTCTTGGGGATAAGCGATGGCGATATACCTGTTATGGTGAGAAGATACTCTAGTTCTGATAAAAGGACTAATTGGTTCGCCTCGTTTAACACAAGAGATGAACATGTTTTCGGCATCACCGGCACGGATTACCAGTGGGCGACACGTCCCAGAACAAACAGAGCCCTTAGAAAAAATCCGAGTTTTGGGGGCGCAGGAGCATACAAATGATGAAGTCAACGCCTTGTAATGGGGAAAAAAATCTTGCCCCGCTGGTATCTCCGCTGGTAACATTTTGAAGAGCGAACTACGTGTGGCCAACGTATGGACCAAATGGGCCTGCAATGACATGGCCAATGCAAGTTCTTCGCAGGCCGTTTGTTGGCGGGCTTCGAGGAAAGCCCGGGCAGTATCTTTTGCTAACTTGTCAGCACAAGAATTACCTTCGGTGAGAAAAGGATCTTGACAAAGGTCGTGTTTACCACAGTGGGCTTTTACTTTATACATCGCGAAAGGCTGGCTTCGCTTGTTGGCCACAAAATTGAACAAAACCCACAGATCCCGATTGTCAAGATTGGTGATACATTTATTTGAGAAGCCACAGCGTCGTAAGAAATTGACAATGTTGACCACATTTGCACAATCGGAATAAATTGTGATATTTCCGGCGCAGTGCCACAAAGCTGCGATGACTGCAAATATCTCAGCCCGTTGGCTTGTTTGATCAAGGCCTGGTAGGAGATAAGCTTTTGAGCATCCACACTTCGAAACAACGGCTGCTGCAGCAGATCTCATAGGTGCCCAAGAGTGATGAAAACAAGAGCCATCAACAAAAATTGGACTTTCAGGCTCAAAAGCTTGAAAATCCTCCATGGGAAGAACGGGCCTAGAGACAACTTCCTGCCGCCACTGGGTGATTAGTTCACCTTCTGGGAAAATGCCTGTACACCACGTTGTGTCATGGAAGAAACTTGAAGGTCGATGCCTTTCGTAGAGACCACACGATTTGAATAAATGAAGGTGGTCTTCTCTTTGGTCGCATCCTTCACACTTATCATCCGTAGTAATCCCTGCGGCTTTGCATCGTGCTCTAGTAAGAACACTGCCAGTCCTCAGGGCCCGCAGTAGGGACTTCGTGTAGGCATGATTCTTTGGCAAGAATTGAATTGCATCCTGCGCAAGTTGTCTGTCAGAAAAAGACGCCAAAGAAGCGTCTTCGAGAATGCGTGTTTTGGCTATATCGATGTGGAGATCAAGTTCGCCTTGCCAGTCGTGCCTAGCTGGGACACGGGCCAACAACATTACACGAACTGATCTTGCAAGTTCCTCGTGAAAATTCTTTTTTGATCCGTAGAGTAAATCAATCGGGGTGTCACCTGGCCGGGAAAACGTCATGCTTTCGTCTTCACGGAACGACCACTTGAGCCGGCTGAAGACGACAGCCAGAACATTGGCCGCTCCATTGGAATTTGCTGAGCAGGTCTGACGTTTCTTTGGCGCTGCTCACGAGCCGAGCAGCAGCTGCGGGATCCTTAAAGGCCAGGTCCCTTAGTCTAGATAAAATTCGTTTGAAAGCGGCAGCTTCAGGATCAACAAAAGGGTCATGACCAGTGGCCAAAATAAGATAAGGGGACCTATTGGTTTTTAAGCCTTTTGACAACGCCTTAACCACTGCCTTTCTCAATTTGTCAAGCTTCGTATTGTTTGGTAATTGGCATTCAACACCGTGCAACCACTTAGAATGGGCAACAGAATGGATGAACCCCGTCATGTCATGTTCATTACATGGTAAACAAGACAGTTTCTTCAGGGAACGAAAAGCTGATTCTACCCGAGAATTTTGGAAGCTGATTCTACCCGAGAATTGTAATCCATTTGTAAATCTATGCGCCAAAAAAAACAAAGGCAATCGTTCTGCCTGGGATTCATTAAGCATGAGGACTTCATCGTCAAGCCTGACCAGGCACGGCCAGGCTCTTCCAAGCTTCCCTGGTGCCGAGTCTGTTTTGCTGCACCTGGCAGGTCACATTTGCCAGCGCCATCGTGGCATGCAAGAGCTGCCCCAAGACTTCACATTTTGCATGTTTAACTTGATCTCACAGAAGAATTTGCAGGCTATCAAGAAACAACCAATTCACATCAATGAACATCAGCAGTTAGTCCTGTATCAATTGAAATTAAGGATCAGTTCGTATCTCAATAGCTGCGCCACTATAGCTGCGCCACTAGGCTTGCAGCTGCCTGGCAGAGTGCATTGTCCCTCTTGCAGGCAAGACCTGTGATGCCTTGCATCATTGTCCCCTGCCTGCAGCATGTCTATATTGTAATATGTTAATGGTTCAAAACCATTCAAAACCTATGATTAGCATATTTTGGGGCATGACCATCTACCAGCATCTACCAGCCATTTGGAGGTTGGGGTACCAAGGTCTTGATCCACAACTCGCTCGAAAGTGCCATTGCTGCCATTCCAGGAGATGATGGCAGCTGGATGTCTACCGGATCCCATCAGCTACGGTGCTGTCATGGCGACCTGCACCGTGAAGTGGGAGCGATCCTTGAACTTGCAGAACACCAAGAGGGCGGTGAAACAAAGGTGCAAAGATGTGCTATACGGACGGTACTAATCCCATCCTCCATGAAGTACATCCATGGGACCCCTAAATGCGATCCAATATAAACCCCGGTTTACAAGAATGTATTTCATAGGGGGAAGGGATTAGTTGATTACTAGTAGTAGTTACTAGCAAAAATCATTTTCATGAGCCAAGTCAATGCTGAGCTCATCGACTTCTTGCAGATTGTTGGCAAATTGGGGCTTAGGCTGCAGACCCTGTGCTCCTCTGACCAGTCTCCAGATCTGGTCCCGATTCTCAGCTTCAGAAACCTAACGCTGGTCGGAATCACGGCCTTCTCAGCCTTCCAGGTGCACTGCAATTCCGGCATAGCTGCTTGGTCCCAGGGCAAGCTCTGGCATGTGGGGCTTTGCTTGTTGAAGAGGCCTGGAGATTAGAGCAGTGCTGTTCACAGCTTCCATGCCCTTTCAGCATCCCATCGATCAAGCTGCTCGTAGGACAGCCGCATCACAGATGAGATTGGATGCCAGAAGCTTTGGCTCCAGCACGGTGGACACTGGGTTGCTGGTGGTAGGAGCTCAACATGTCGTCATGTCATATGGGTTATATAGACTTCATGACCCAGCCATCAAACAAACTTTGATCGTTTCATCATTTCAGTACTCCATCTGATGGTTGAGTCAATTTGGTCATCCTTTATGTTTGATCATAATATAATATAAGGTCGTTCTTAGAACTGCTTGTGTGATGCCAGGACTTGAAGTGATTGTACGCTGTGTTGCTTTAAGGCTCAAAGGAGTAGGTTTGAATGGCCTGCGCCAAGTGTAAACAAGGTGTTCCTTTTGACGGGGACACTTGGTGCTTGGCGTGCATCAGCTGGGAGCAGATCGAAATAGAACTCAACTCCCCTTGGCATTCCAAGGGAGTTAGAGATCTGGGCACTGAGGTGGTGGTGACGGCCGCCAAACAACTGCGGGCTCTGAGGAATCTCTCGTCGAGCCTTCGCAGCGCCGGTGAAAGCCGTAGCGCTGCGTCGCAGGGGGACAAGCGCAGTCGCAGCGCTGGGATAACATCCCGGGAGCTCCCGCCACCACCTCCTGCTCCCATCAAGGCCGAGAAGGCCGCTGAAAGTGACTACGAGACAGACGAAGAGGAGGAAGAATCTGAAGAAGAGGAAGAAGACGAAGTCACTGGGGCCCATCCTAAGGCTGATCCTGCGCGTCGCCCTCCTGAACCAGCAGTTCCCCCCAAGCCAAAGGAAGTGGTTCAGCAGGATACCTTCAGGCCTTCTGAGCGTGAAGCTGAGGACAGGTCCAGGAAAAAGAAGAAAAAGAAGAAAAACAAAGGTCGTGATCGTGACCGTGGTCGCCGAGGAGGTCGAAAACATCAGGGGCTTCACAGAACGTTGGAAGACCCATCCATCAGAGTACATAGAAAACGCCCAGGGGCATTCTGGGACACACAGTCAAGATTGGAGGAGAGAGAGCCACTTGCCCGGCGAAGGGAGCAATGGCGAGAATAGAAGATGGGAAGGAGTTTTCAGTGGACGACCCCGACGAGTGGGGGTCTCTGCTGATAGACAAGGGGTGCATTGTAGAAGCGCCGGTGGAGCCTCACGACGAGAAGGAAGAGCCCATTTGGGGCGGCTTCTTGGTTATGGGGGCTCGTATAACCCACGACGCATCACTGCGCCTTCATGTGAAGAGTTTGGGTTGTGGCGATCCCCAGGTGGCTCGAGAGCTGTCAAGTGCTTTCAACAGGAAAGAAGGGCACATCCACCTTTGCCCAAGCTCCCTGTGCATGGATTACGGGGACGAGGACTTCCACGTGAAGCGCATCAGAGTCTACAGTGCAGAAGGCTTTGCCCGCGAGTACATGACTGCCCACACGCGAAACCAAATCAAGAAATGGCTAGGAGACTTAGGAATGAGTACTGGGGAACCAGAGGAAGAAGAAACAGAAAAACGCCCTCCAGCTCCTGGCCCAAAGCGGGCACCGGCGTTGCGCTCGGCACCGCCCAAGGTGAAAGGGAGGCGCGCCGGCAAACCGCCTGGCGCGCCCCACAAGGAGTCAGAGGTCCCTGGCGCTGGCGCCGAGCCGAGCGCCACCGAGGAGGCCAAGCGTGCAATGTTACGCGAAAGGCTCCGGAAGGCCAAGGAGAGTATGGCCCATGGACTGGTGGCCGAGAGTCCGGGACGCGCTGCAACACGCGAGCGCGGGGAGCCTGGCTCTCCGGTTGTCCAGGACGTGGAGTCTTCCTCGGAAGGCTATTCAGCCTCAATAGCGGAAGATGGGCCGAGTACGGGGACCTGTCTGACGGGGAAGGAGTTGGATCAGGGGGCCACTCAAGTGACCTTTGCCGACCGCCCCAAAGTCATCCCGAAAGCCAAGAAAAAGAAGAAGAAGAGAGGTGGGGTCCGGAGCCTCGAAACGGCGACTGGGGTCATGGCTATAAGCGATGGCACTACGACCACCTTGCAGACGCAGCTTATGCGCCGGGCCGCCGAGAGGAGCCAAATTCAGATCTCACGGAAGAAGCAGGAGGAGTCGCGTCTGTCCAAGAAGGACGCTGGATCCCAGCTGTTGAAGATCCTTACCAAGTTAGCCAAGGGGCAGAAGGACAGGAAAGAGAAGAAAGACAAGAAGAGCAGAAAGAGGCGGAGGCGTGTCAAGCTCGAGGAAGGAGGAGATCCCAGCGATTCGTCAGGGAGCTCTCCGACGCCCAGTGGAGGAGGAGATTAAGGTGGTTCTTCAAGCAGCTCAGGAGACGAGGACAAGGAGGAGAACAAGATGGAAGCCCCGCTCCGACGCAAGTCGTTGAAGCGTCCGGGCAGCGTGTTGCGGCTTCTCATCAACCATGCCCGGCAACAGCTGGACCAGACAGCCAAGGTGGAAGTTGGGAACGCAGCAACAGAAGATCCCACCTTGGGAGTGAGGATTGCAAGCTACTTCAGCATCATCGTCAAGCCGAATCTGGGGACAGCTCTGGGCCCCACCAGGGAGATGTATCATCTCTCGAACTGCATAGACCTCCTAAGAAAAGGAGAACTGAGCAGGCTGGGGGATGTCCTAGCGGGCCGCTTTATCAGCCTGCACCAGTCAGTGTTGGACGGGGGCTGGCAAGCGGCCAGACACCTGGAGGTGATGCCCTACGAGGAGGTGAGCGCTGCTGGAACCAGCGTAGTCCTACAGGCGCGGAAGCATGCCCGGGTCGCCGCAAAGGCGCTGGGTGCGGACGCGCCTTGGGGCTGGCGCCAAAACTCAAAGGGCAGAGGAGGAAAAGGAAAGTATCCTGCTTGGAACGAGACAGAATGGCAGGGTCAAGGCAAAGGGAAACAGAAGGGCCCAAAGGGCCGAGGAAAAGGAAAGGGTGGATGGCCAGGGCCATACGCAGATGCCGATGGCGAGGCTCTCAAGAAAAAGGAAAAACCAGGAGACAAATGACTGAGGAAAAGGGTGCGCTTGCGCTGGCTGAAACCGGGCGCATCCCCCGATCTCCCCGGGGCAGGGAAGGCGTGACCACGCAAGCCTTCAAGGAGGGGTTACTTTTGGGTACCTCTCTACCGCGGATGGCGTGCATGTTGGCGTGGTGGTTGGTCATGCCTCCTCGCTGCCTCGAGGGGGATAGTTTCACTTCGGAGCTCTTCAAGGGGTTGCTGAAAGCAACTGTCGCAGGAGCACAACGGCGCCCGAGGCCTAAGGGCGCTGTATTCCCCCTAAGGGAGGGAGACTTGCTGGAATTCATTGAGGTGTGCAAGAACATTTCATTGCAAGAAGCTACATCCGCAGCTTTTGTGGAGCGCTGGCAAAAACAGGCCTGGCTGCTCTTGTGCATGTGCGGGTTGAATGCGTTGAATGGCACGCCTACCTTCCCGGTGAGCGGCCGCTGGACGCAAGCCGAGCGTGCTGCGGCAGGTAGCATAGCCTCAGCCGTGGAACGGAGGCTAGCAACCTTTGTAGAGAACGATGCGCTGACCGAGTCCGCATGGCAAAAAGACATGAAAAGTAGGCAGGTTGGTTACAATGGTGAAGAAATTTCAACATGTCATGAATTAACTTGGGATCAAGTAATACCTTCTTTACCACCTGAACACCATGGCGGTTCAATTAACTCACTGGACTGGGTTGGAGAAAGGACTAGGGAGTTTTTACTGGATCCCACGCGCCTTTTGAAGGACCCCTCAGAGATTTCATTGCCTAAGTTACCTGGCAAAGTGCATATCAAGTCCGAAGATAGGTTTGCAATTGCCTCGGAACTGGTCCGAAGAAATATCTGTGACTGGCTTCCCCTCTCGGAAGTTTATGAGGTCAAAGGACAGAAAATCCTTAATGGATTATTTGGGGTTAGTAAACCCACATTGTTGACAACTGGACAACCAGTGTTGCGTCTGATCATGAACCTAACTGGCTCAAATTCAACACAGGAACAGCTGGAGGGGGGTTGCAGTACACTACCTGGTATCACAGCATGGCAAAGTATTGTTGTTGATGCCGGGGAGCACATCAAACTGTTTCAATCTGATATGTCTAGCGCTTTCTACCTCTTCAAAATCCCCAAAGTGTGGCAGGGTCATTTGGCTTTCAACATTGTGGTACCTGGCTCTTCAATTGGTCGAAACCCTTTATTGGATTTTGCTTTGGTTTGTAACGTAATACCCATGGGATGGCTTAACAGCGTTGGAATTATGCAAGAAATCTCCGAAAATCTGGTCAAGAAAGGTCGAGTGTCATGCCTGGGGCAAGTGTTGAAGGGGACACCACTACCAGCTTGGATGAACGATGTTCTCAAGGGGGCTGAGGATCAAGAACGGACATGGTTTCATGTTTACTTGGACAATTTCTGCGCTGGGGAGCGAGTTTTGCCGGAGCAGCATTCAACAAAGGGAGTTTTATGTCATGAGCAAGTGGAGCAAGCTTGGGGAGACGCAGGGGTGATTTCTTCAGCAAAGAAAAAGGTTGTGGCGGCATCAAGGGTCACGGAACTAGGTGCCGAGGTAGACGGCCACAATGGAACCTTGGGAGTTGGAAATGAGAAACTTCTCCCTTTAATACAGGGAACCCTTTGGTTGGTGTCTCAGCCATACCTGAATAGAAAACATGTTCAGATTATGGCGGGAAGATGGGTATTTGTATTACAATTCAGGCGGCCAGCTATGGCCATTTTGCAGCAAGTTTGGAAATTTATCTCTGGATATGAAAAGGTAACAGATAAGATGAGGCGAGCAGTGCGAACCGAACTCTTACAGCTGGTCTTGTTGTCCCCCCTGCTCCACTGCAATTTGAGCGCCCCAGTGGAAGAAAAGGTTATTGCAACGGACGCTTCAGAGCGAGGATGTGCAATTTCAGCAGCAACTTCTCTGACCCCAACGGGTCTTGATTTCCTGCAAGCGACAAGGAAGATAGAAGGATTTGGAAGTTCAGAAGCCATCCCTGTACTCATTGTAAGCCTTTTCAATGGTATAGGAGGAAGCTTTAGGTGCTATGATATTTTGGGGGTGTCACCCATGGGTCGCATAGCAGTTGAATGTGACACAGGAGCCAATAGGATCACCCAGAAACGGTGGCCAGGAACGATCATAATCAATGATGTGAAGTTGGTAGATCGCGCACTGGTGCGATCATGGAGCTCAAAGTTCCTCCGGATTCAGGAGGTACATGTGTGGGCCGGTTTTCCATGTACAGATCTTTCTGCAGTGAAGTTTAATAGAGCAAACCTGAAGGGCAGCAATAGCAAGCTATTTTGGGAGATTCTAAGGATTGAGCAGTTAATCCAGGAGGAGTTTGGACCGGAAGTGGTGGTTAAATCAGCTGTTGAAAACGTTGCTTCAATGGATCAGGACGCTTGCAAAGAAATCTCAGAGGAACGTGGGTCTTGGCCCTACCATCTTGATCCGGTCCATGCAGTGCCTATGAAGCGGCCCAGGTTTGCCTGGGTTTCGGAATCTTTGGAGGGGGTTTTCCCAGACATCAGTTTTCACTCCAAGCGGTATTGGACTGAAGTCGTGGCAACGGCGGACTATCCCAGTACGGAGCAATGGCTTGAGCCAGAACATGAGTGGGCAGGTGAGAGAGTGGGTGCTACGTTCCCCACTTGTATGAAAGCAATTGCCAGGCAACATCCGCCGCCGCGACCAGCAGGGATGGAGAAGTGTGACAATTTGACTATTCAAAGGTGGACTGAAGATGCTTTCCGCTACCCACCTTATCAATATGACTGGAAATACATCATTTCAACTCCGGGTACATGGCGACTACTCAGTGCTGAAGAGAAAGAACTCTTGCTTGGCTACGGGTACAAACACACAGAGTTTGCTTGGCCGGCATCCCGTATAAAACAATCACCACAAGGTTTTGATGACGCAAGACATAGCTACCTTGGGGATAGCTTCAGTATTTATTCTTTTTGTATTGTGGCTGCTGCCTTTGTCAAGCGATTTTTACCAGGGATGAGTTACAAGCATGTGGCGAATCGCATGGGGATGTCACCGGGATTTAGAGCACATGTGCGCAGTATTATTCCTTTGATGCGAGGGTTGGCCTATGGTTCAGATATTAGTTCAATTCCCCACTGTCTTGGAATGGAACAATTTAATCGACTTTTACTGAGGCGCACCAATCACACAGGTTCAGATGTGAGGGTTATCTCGGGAACTTTAACAAACCCAAAAAGTTTTCCCCGTGAGTCGGTGGCTGCATCTTGGTGGGAATGGAAGGATGAGTTCAGGAAACGGTGGCAGTCTTCATCTCATATTAATGTTCTGGAACTTGAAGCAGTGCTTTTGGGAATCAAACACCAGATTCAGAGGTTTAAAACAGTGGACAAACGCATTTTCCAAATCAGTGATTCTTACGTTTGTATCAGTGTTTGCAGCAAGGGGCGTTCAGGCAGTCTTCAGCTTAATAGGGTTCTCCGTCATATTTCGGCACTCTTGTTAACCTTTGGACTCCAATTGGTTATAGCACATGTTGACTCACTGGACAATCCGTCTGATCGGGGCTCAAGGCTATAATGGTAGTCTATCTGTTTGCCGGTCGCTGCACACGAAGAGAAAAAGTCAGGCAGCGTAGAAATATTGAACTTGAGGATGCCGCGCTGTCTGAAAAGACGAAGACGCGGTATTATTTGGCACTACGAAAATTGTTGCCGTATTTCGAAAGTGCTGAATGTTTGGATGACTTAGACAATAAAATATGTACTTGGATACGTGTCATGTGGAAGGCAGGCGAACCATTGCTTACTGTAGGCGATGGCCTGAGTGCAATACAGCATTTCGAACCTTCTACAAAGAAGAGACTGCCCCATGCTTGGAAACTTTTCACTGTTTGGAGGAAAGTGGAGATCCCAAGCAGAGCACCTCCCCTAACCAGAGTCTTGGTTAGGAGCATGGCTGTTTTTGAAATGGAAAACAACCGACTGGATATGACTGTGATGCTTTTGCTCGGTTTCTTTTGTCTCCTTCGTACCGGAGAACTTTTGCAGCTCACAGTTAACGATTTTTGCTTGGGGCATTCCTCTGGACTGGTGTCTTTGAAGCATACAAAATCAGGACGTAGAGACAATGCCAGTGAATTCGTCAGTTTCACAGATGTTCCTACCCTTGAAGCTGTTAAACAGCTTATTTCACTTCGAAAGGAAACGAACACAGGCCCTCGGTTGTGGGTTCATTCACCAAGTGCTTTCCGCCAACAATTTAAGCTGCTTTGTGATCACTATGATCTTTCAAGTCATCAATTCAGACCTTACAGTTTAAGACGCGGAGGAGCTACTCATCATTTTCAAATTACCAATTCTATGGAAGCTGCGTTGATCAAAGGAAGGTGGCAATCATCAAAAGTGGCCCGCATTTACATCAGTGATGGCCTCAGTTACCTGCCAAACTTGAAGATGTCTACAAGAACCACAACGCTTATTAAACGATTTCACTTTTTCAGCCCTCACCTGGGGTGAGCGCGTCGCATGAATGCTTGGAAGCGTGGAGATCTTTTGGAGATCTTTTTGTTTTGTCTGAAAAATTCATAAGGATACATATAAACCTCTACCATGAGGTAACAAGATGCTTTCTACCATGAAAGCTTGGGTTGGTAAAACAATGTCTTCTACCATGAAGACTCGGAACTTCTTTTGCATGTGATGTGTTTAAACACAGGCGAGGCAGAAGCCTCAATTCAAAGCCTACAGTTCCTGCGACGAGAGCGAAAAGTCCGAGTGCTGAACACAAGGTCGTTCTTAGAACTGCTTGTGTGATGCCAGGACTTGAAGTGATTGTACGCTGTGTTGCTTTAAGGCTCAAAGGAGCCCACCGCTCCCTCCCTTGGGGACTGGAGATCTTTTGGAGATCTTTTGGTTTTGTCTGAAAAATTCATAAGGATACATATAAACCTCTACCATGAGGTAACAAGATGCTTTCTACCATGAAAGCTTGGGTTGGTAAAACAATGTCTTCTACCATGAAGACTCGCAACTTACTTTGCATGTGATGTGTTTAAACACAGGCGAGGCAGAAGCCTCAATTCAAAGCCTACAGTTCCTGCGACGAGAGCGAAAAGTCCGAGTGCTGAACACAATATATTATATATTTATATATAATATAACATATATATATATATATTATATCTAATTATGTATAACATGATTGACCAACCCCACTTCACAGCCCATGAGCACGGCTGCCCAGGTCATCTCCCTGAACTCTGCTTTGACAGCATGCGAGCGGGCAGATGAATGGCAACTTGCAGCCGCAATGCTTAGGTCACTACGAGGCTGGGGCGATGAGATCCATCCGGGTCCGAGTCCATCCCCTCTTTGAGAATGCCATCTTGGGCGAAATCTTATTGATTATATCCTGTTCATGATTTTTTTCCAGATCAAAATTAGCATTTTTTTTGGGGGGGGCGTTTGCATTTTTATTTTAACATATTTTAACCGACACCCAAATGGGTCACTCTGATCATTGGACTCTGATCTGAGGTGCTTTCCTGCAGCCAGATGCGACCAGCTCCGCAATTTGCACTGCAGCTTTTGGTCAGCCCAGCATGGATTGGTGCTGCAGTAAGTTGGGTGTGCCATGGTTTGTCCAGAAATGGTGCATACCCAAAATTCATCAAAATTCTAAATGACTCTAAATGGCACTTTGAATTGGGAAATGATGACAAATCATTTGTTTCGGGACAAACCATATGGTTCCACAACCGTTCTCTTATTCTTGTTTCTCAGATTTCGTTCAGACAAATGGGAGTGTTGTGCTTATCATCTCACCGATGCGATAATTTGGGGTATGGCTCAAAGTTATTGTGGTTAAATCTTATCAATCTCTTTACATTTTTCACAGGACCAATTTCGTGGATCCATTTTAGCTTGATGTGCTGCTGGTTTCTGATCATCTCCGTTGATGCTAACTTGGTTTATCATTATTTCCTTCTTCAACTTGCCATTTTGGGGCATATTCCCCCATTTTTGGACTCTCCCAAGTATGATATTGTTGGATATTGTTGGTATTTGTTTGCAACATCGATTTTTTTCTTGTTTAAATGAGTTCAAGCCAGATTTGCGTGTCACCCAATATCATATTGTCGATGATGCATTTCATTTCCAATCACATCCTTAAGAAATCAATGAACGACATAATCTATCCTTAATTTTCGCGCTTCTATTCTGGGTCCAAAGAACATACACCTATCTTTACCAGTGAAATGCCCAAGTTGATGGTTCCCCATGTCAGGTGCTGGTCCAGGGTCCGCTCGCTGGTCCCTGGCCCTGACGTCGCTTCTGCGCGCCCGTCAGCAAGGTGGACATTTTCCTTTGGTATTTCAATGGGTTGAAGGGAACATGGAGGTTTCCTAAAGTGTGGGGTACCCCAAACCATCCCAAATTAGATCATTTTGGTATTGAAACCCATGGTGTTGGGGATCCCCAATTTTAGGAAACTCCCATGCAGGAAAATGGGACGTTTTCCTGGAAATAGAAGGGTTTCCGGTTTCCGCAGATTTCCCACAAAAGCAATTCTAGGATTCAGAAATGGGATGGTTTAGGTGAACAGTGGATATATAGCAAGTAGCTTGAAACGGGATGGGAAGTTTTGTATGGTTTTCCCGGGCCTGAAGTTTTGAACCCTACCTTTTTTTTATGGCCATGCATCAAAACCTCTACCATATTTTGGGGGGATGAACCTCCATAAATCCCAGGTACTTTGCCGTCCAGGGTATCACTTGGGACCCATAGCCGGCAGGACTGACAAATCGAGAAGGGATCTCCTCTGCAATGGTGGCACTGACCGGTTCCAGTGTGGCAAGTGAGGCCGTTCTGATGGAAATGTCTTGGAGCTGCATCCTACTTAATCAAAGTGCTTACAACTCATGCGTAGCTGGGGTTTATTGATGTTTATTCCATCTAGATGGGGTTTAGTCATGGTTATTGGGATGCACATCCAAGTTTGCTAAAGCTGTCAAAAGTTGCCCAGTGTGCTGTCTCTCACACTGAAACCAAGAGGCTACGGAGACGAATGGCCTGCGATGGACTCTCGCCTTACTTCTTTTGAAACAGGCCTGGTAACGCCAACGGTCTCAGATGACTCTATTTTTCAGCCAAAGAGTTTGAATCTTGGAGGCCGCCATTGGGAATCTGCAGTCAGAAGCCAAGAGATTGCGCGTTTGAGCATGCGATTGTGGTCAGTCAACAAAGAAAGTCCAGAGAACTTGTCCCGAAGAAGATATCATGTCTCATGACGAAGACTGGCTTGGCTTTCGTTTGGATGCTGGCCATGTAGAACATGTGGACATGTCAACGGCTCTCACTACTTGGGTGTGCATCCCACTTAGTAAGTGGGCAATTACCATATGATACCCCAGTCAAGTGTAGTGCATATGGAATATTCAAATATCTCTCTCTATACAATATATATATATATATACAACACATCCAATTGATATAGAATAACCCCAGTTATATGTATATATAATATAACCAGTTATGTGTATATCTATATGTATATAATATATATATATATAATTATATGTGATATATGGTTTATCAACAACTTGCCGACTGAGATGCAAAACTTAGGCCAGATTCACTGATGCTGTCTTCTGCCTTGAACGCTTGCAGAGATGGTGCTGAGCTTGGAGGCAACTGCGCCGAGCAGGCGCGATTTTGAAGCGCAAGGAGATCCAAGAGTGATATATATATATATATATGTACTACATATATATATATACATATTATTTATAATATTACATTGATTACATTGATGCCATGGCACTGTGACAGAGGCAACTTCAATACATGTCTTAGATATAGTTCTCATAGTTTTACTACTAAGTAAGTTCCTAGTAGATAGTATAGATAGATATAGATAGTACACAGACACACAATGTGTGTACCATATGTATACTGTGTGTAGACTGTGAATATACGAACATGTCCATTGAACCTCCAGGCGCTGGAGCTGCTACAAAGTGTGGAGGACTGACCCGGAGCTGCACTTTTTTTTTTTTTTAACGGCGTTTGTACTGTACCATGGTTTATTGGTATGGACATTCGCATGGGCCATGAAACCTATCATGGCCATCTGGAATCTGCGTTTTACTGGAATCGGTTTCATTATTTCATTTATATAATTCCTTTGAACATATCAGATCCAGAGTCGATTCTTTGTTGCTTCAGACTACATTTCTTGATGTGAATCTCTCAGGACGCGGACATGGCAGCTCTATGCGTGGTAGACTTCTCAACCTGCGCAAAACGATCAAGACGCATCAAACTGTGCCGTGGAACCGCCGTTGAACTCAGGTATTGGACACCTTGGAGATGAGCAACAACTACCGAGGTTCGAGGTCACTTTTGGAAGAAATATACAGCCGGCGGCTTTGTTCACACTGAACACCTGCCATGTTCTGCTATGAGATCAGTACCTGTGTGTGACACAATGTGTGATAGCTGGATATTTTGTGCACTGAGTTGCTACTTCTCAACAGTTGGATATGCTGAAGGCCAGCCATGTTTGTATTGTGACATCCACCATGAACAGGTTTTAAACAGCGAACAGAATGTCTTGTGCATGGTGACGCGATCGTGCAACATTTGCACTGTAGGTGCCTTCGAAGTCTGACAGAGCCGAGCTTCACCATGCCAGGCACCCAGTAAAGTGCGCGGGGCGATCAACAACCTTTGCATGTGAACAATGGTATCCCCGTATCCCCACCTTGAAACTGCTGGCGCCCCACGGGGTGTTGGAGCAGGCCATGGTGGACGTGTCATCCAACTCCACTTTTTTTTAGGGCTGAAAGACACATCAGAGTCAGAGGTTGGCATTTTGAAAGTGATGGATGGGATTTGGTGAAGCACAGTTGACCTAAATGGACCTAAATGAATCTACGTGGATCTGAATGGATCTAAATGGATCTAAATGGCTGGTGATCTGAACGCCAACGAAAGTTGTTTCTCCTCCAAACCTGGCCATTTTTTGAAGGGAATGATCCTCCAAACCGTCCCAGACCGTCCAAGTATTTTGATGTTACCCCGAATTTGTGGCCTCAAATCCTCTGGAATTTGGTGGTTGACATGGACCAGTTTGGTATGACGCATTCCATGTCCCCAGGTTGTGCTAGGGATGGACCTCCTTCATGAACACCTGCTGCTGGGAGATGTCCAGGTCGGTTTGCGGGGTTTGTCTGAAAATGGTGGATCAATGTTTTTTTTTTTTAATGGGGAAAACGATGATAAACCATTGGATTCGGGGATACCCTACATTCAGACAAACCCATATATAGCTGCGATATGCTATGTATTTGTAAACGTGTATGGGATTGACCTTCCGTTTTCATTTGTCGGAGCCTGAACTTTGTGCTTTTCCTGGCCTTTGGGAAATTTGCAGGCCACCTTCCTCCGAAGCATGACGTCGCCAGTGATCCGCAGGCTGCGAGGATTGTTCCAGTCTCGGATGAAGCCGGTGCCTCGTCTCCAAACCCAATGCCACTGGTCACCAAAAGCTAAGAATCTAAGGCGCGATGAAGTTCTGGAAAGGCAACCAATGCTGGGCTCAAGAGGGACCATTCAGGCATCGTGGTTTAATTGAAGGCATTCTTTGTTTCTCATGCAGATCCGGTTTATTCCTTGACGATGTTTTTTCAGGCTTTGCGGACAATGGAGATGGGCTGCAAGGTTCCTTGAACGCATTCTAAAGTTTTTGTTTGACCACATTTGGATACATTTTGTGGTTTGTGTGTCCTGCATTGTCTGCCAAATTCTATACCAGTCTATGCCTAGAGCCTAGAGGGTTTACTCAACCTGACGATGCAGTCCCCTAGGTGACAGATCAGCCCTGGCTTGGCATGGCGCGTGAGAGGAGCCGGAGCTTTCTTCAGGCTGCGAAGGCGCAGCCGTCTTTGGATGCTATTGCCTCTGTCATCATCTCAATGGCTGGAGCGGTGAAACAAGCTGAAACTGCGATTTTGATCGATTTTGGATGTGTCTTAAAATGTGGTATACCCCCAATATCCCCCAATTGTAGCCATTTGAAGAGGTGAAAATGATGATTTACCAGTGGATGGAATCGGGGTATACCATGGTATACCTCATTTTCATTGTGCTTCAATCAGTTTGACCATGTTTGACCACTTGAGATTTGAGGCTTTAACTGCCTGGCTGGCCTTTTCTATCCAAGAAAGCGAGGTGCTGCATCATCTGCATCGACATTGGTTCAATTCGGTTCTCGATTTCAGACAGTCAGATGATGTCAGATGTCACCCAGGTGACCCAGGTGGCATCTTGCAGAAGTCGAGGAAGTGCACACCAGCTTCGTCAGCTTCGTACTGCAGGATCAACGCTTTACTTCTTTTGAGCTTTTGTATTTCATGGCGATGATCGACCTTGCCTTTTGCAGCTCAACTCGATAGAAAATCAGACACATTGGTATCCCCAACTAAATTCATATAAATTCATCAAAAACATCACATGGGTTTTCCGATGTCTGTCAATTTCAGCAACTCTTTGCGCCATGCTCTGCCCAGGAGAGAACTTGGGACTTGTGCCTCTTCAAATTCAGCACGATCGATCACCACATGGAGAGCGCCAAGCGCTGCTCATGGTGATTGCTGCTGCCCAAGGCAACAGCGAAGGAAAAACATGAAAGCGATCGATGCTTTCATGGGGAGCGCTGTGGTTGGGTTTTCCTGATAAAGAAAACAAAATCCCATGGTCTATCACCAATTTGAAATGGCCGTGCGTTGGGCTTAAAATCTATTTTTGGACAAACTAGATAGTGGTATATATGTACCTCTGAGCTCCGCAAGTGGCAATTCCACATGAAATGAAAGCGCTCACGCAGTTTGACGCTGCTGCTATGTATGATGCTCCAAGAAGTGAAGTCCCATTGGCAGTGAAGTAGAGACGGGGACAGGTAGTAGAGTCTCTCATCAGGTTTAAACATTGAACAAGGCGCAGGTGCACCGTGTCAAACTGGTCATATCGGGTCATGAAACTAGAAATCCAGAGTGTTACCGGCATCATTTTCCATCAGATTGCATGACTTCGTCGGTTTGCCAGCCATGGGGCCCACAAGCGAGGAGATCGAGCGTGTCAAAGAACAGTTGCTGGGCACATATCACTCTTTAATCATATATGTGAACAGTGGCCTTACTGGGGGTTGTTAAGATATAGAGTGCAGACTTCACGAATTCGGTCCCCTTTCATTCATTGTAGATGAAATCAGTACTTCAAACATGCGAATTAAATGGCACGGGAGCATTTCCAAGCAAAACACAGATCTTGTCGCATGCACACTTATTTCAAACTGAAGAAACTTGACCATCAGCGTGCAAGGTTCATTGTTGTGGATCAGGATGGCTCCGGCAGCAAGTCTGCACATAGAGATGTATTTTATCCATTGTGTTGATGGCTGGATGGTTTTGAGCGAGAATACGTCAAAAGACTTTGGAACGACCGGAACTTCTGCTTGGGCACGGAGCGAAACGCACATGAGCAGTGTTCAAAACTCCGTTGGTTGATGATGGCTGTTGATTATGGGGGCTTTTACATCTCCTTGCCCAACATATTAAGTTGGGATGATCATAATCCATTACGAGAATCCGCCAACCAATGGATTGGTTTAAGGGAAAATCTACAGGAAACCATTGATTTTCCCATTAAATATGGGGCTTTCCTGTAAATTTTCCCTTAAACCAATCCATTGAGCCAAGCAGGCTGAAGTTCTTGAGACTTGTTGCTTCAGGTCTTATCGAAAACAAGAGTTGGAGGTCTTGCTCTCCGTCCTTGGTCTGGCGACATCCCCAGCTGCAAAAGTCAACGCCATCAAAACATCCAGCTAAACATCACCAATGTATACATTAAGATACATTAAGTATATGTTAAGTATACTATAGTATACTTATTTTCAGTATATGATACGTCTTATCAACATTTTTCAAACATTGCTGTACCATTTTCAACTGCTCAACATGTTTGTTTCAACCAGTCCCAAACGCGCAGGACACGCAGGAAGAGAACCTGGACTCGCTCTTTGAGGTGTTGGACACCGACAAGGCCTGGATTCAGTTGACCTTGGCATTGACGTTCTACTTGAATGGAATCTTGATGAATCCTGATGTATCTGCAATGTCTGGAAGAGTTGGATGATCAAAATCACTTTGAACCAAGTTTTGAATTAACTATATAATTGTTTTCATCGTTCAAAATCATGCTGAAGGACGGTTTCATCAGCTTCGAAGAATTCGTGGATTTCGTCTTCAGTACAGGGGACAAAGACTTCCTCAGTGATGCCGATTTGGAGAAAGTACGACAGCTCTCTACCAGGGGTTTCAAGGAGGAAAAGCGGGAGAAAGAGGGGCAAAGCAGGGAGAACTCTCCTCAGCCACTTTGAAGCATTTGAAAGCAGCCAGGTTTTTATAGATTTCTGACAAGGAGATGTGCCCCGCGACGACCACATCAACCACCATTCTCGTATTCGATTCTAGTGTGTAGAGCAACGAAAATAGCATCTACTGCCACGATGCAATGAGGTTGTCACAGACCTCTCCTGATTCGAAGAGCGAGGCGCGCTTTTTCCTTCCGTGTAGCGGGGTCGAATTGCCATGGACAGCATGTACAACCGGTTTGTTCTAGAAAGGTCAGAATGATGCTTGCAAATATTGCGCTAGCAACCCCCAAACAGATTTTAAAAAGTCAACCCGTCCAAATTTGATGACGATCTACTTTTCATTATTTTTGTTCCATTTTTTTTTTGGGTGGCTATATGTGCATATATGTGCTATATTCTTTTGGGACCCATTTCCAACTCTTACTCCTGCGTCACCAGGAGTTGGAGATGCTGAAAAACCGCGTGGAGGAACTGCAACTGCAGCTGCAGCGGCGTGATGAGGTGTGCTGAGGAACGAATGGCAGCGGACTCGGGGATGGGGGATGGGGCCTACTTGGGATATCCAGAAATAGATGGTTAAAAGGTGAAAATATATGAACATATGATACCCTCTGGTAATTTAACGTAGCTATGGAAAATCACCATTTTTTTATGGGAAAATCCACTATAAATGGCCATTTTCAATAGCTATGTTAAATTACCAGAGGGTAATATTAAGATGGCATTACTTTTAAACAATACTAATTTTTGCAGGCTCCTGGCTGCTGGTTTGATGACTTTTGAATACTTTTGACATCTTTTGGCTCATACCCACATGAGACGATAAATCGGACGTCAACGTCCATTTGGTGCTCCTTCGCTGATCAGATACTCCATGATTTGAGAACCGAGCATTTGAAGGTGGTCCGCGACCTCATGGCTCAGCTCAAGAAAGCTCAGAAAGACTTGGAGAGTGCCCAAAGTGGCCAAGACAGCAAGGATTCTGGGATCATTTGGGATCAATTTGGATCATTTGAAAAGAATATAAGTATATAAATATATATCCATTCCATATCAAACATGGCAATGGAAAATTCCCTCATTAATAGCTGAATTTCCCACTCACACCTGCTCTTCTACGATATTTTCAATTACTATGTTTGATCGGTCGAGGGTACATCCATCTCTGTAGATTGTCGGAACCAGCGTTGATCAGCTGGTACTGGTAGAGATACCGTGGCAGGACGCGCAAATATCTGTAGAGCGCGAGGAGTTTCAAGACGAGCACCTTGGCGGGGATCCCCCAAAAGATTTGACATCCTCCTCCGAAATTGGGTTGATATCAGGTGGAGGAGCGTTCTACTGAAAAGGTGAAAAAGTGAAAATGGCCTAGAGCAAGTTGGTGAAATCTTGTTTGTTTATCCGCAAGACCGAGCATTGTGCCGTCCAGGATTGTGCAGCTCAAAAAGCAGCTGCATGCAGCTTGAAAGCAATTAGAGCCGGTGTGTTCTGTGACAGGCGTGCTAGCCTGCTAGCATGGATGAAGCACACATGAGCACACATCCATCATGAGGAGAAGCACTTCTGCTTGCAGCGATTAGAGAATCAGCAGGAGAAGACAGTTGAAGGCTGGGGAGACCGCAGAAAGAGGTGAATCATTCGCGCGGTTTCCGGTTTCCATTCGTTGTTGAGACGCCCCCAATGGGACTACTGGATTGGGTGTCCCTTACAAAGTCTGCAGGCTATGCAACGTTTGTGAAGGCTTTGCTGAAGTCCTCAGCGCGGCTTGGTAGCACAAGATGATTGAAGATCTATTGAATTCTATTGCAAGCAGAAGGAGGCCAACCATTTTTGACTATGCCCCAAATCGTTTTAGCTGCCAGTGTCATCAAGTAAATCAATATATTTCCACTATATGGTATGGTATGATATGGTATGATGTGATGTGATGTGAAATGATATGATGAACATGCATACTGCCCTCAGATATAAGCCTCCGAGGTAACCTGTTGGCGTTAGTCGCAGTTATAATATCCATTGAGATTCATCCTGCAGAATCCTTTGATCTTTTTATTGACAGCCAACTGTTTTTCAGTTCTTGACGTCTTATGACCTACCGGTATCAAGGTCTTTTGATACACCTACCGGTATCAAGGGCAAGATATACAATAATAATGATAATAATATTTATTATAGTTAATAATAATAACACAAATAAAATAAATAACAATGATAATAAATAACAGCAACAATAAAACTAATTAAAGCAATATTAATAAATAACAATAATGATAATACATAACAACAACAATAATAATAATAATAATAATACAAATAATAACATAATCATACCAATAATAAAAATAACATAATAATAATTAAAATAACACAATAAAAATAAACATAACATAATAATAATAATTAATATTAATAATAATAATGATAATAATATTACCATCGCCACAATTCAGGTCCCAGCAGTTGGAGAACCACTGCGACTTGAACACCGTCGAGATGCTGGGCAAGGGTTCCTATGGCTTCGTCACTGGGTTCAATGCGGTGCATATGGCATACCATCCGTAAATGGTGATTCAAAGCATCAAACATTGGGGGATTTCATGTGTTTTTACGTATTTTATATGACTTCATGTGTTTTTTTTTACATTTTTTTTCATTAAATATGGGTTGTACAAGGGGGATTTAATCATCAATAATGGGGGGACATATCAAATGGGATTTATCACCAACTCGATATGAAAGTTGGGCCTAAACCTGAGATTGGTGGGATTTACTAGTAATTTGTGCCAACTTTAATGGGGACAATGATAAACCAGAGGATTTTTTGGGTAGACATGGCATCCCAAAAGGACCATCGCTGGATTTGGTTTCTTCCTTTTTGGTGCGCTGAGGTGATGACATGTCAGGATAAAGAGCATCAAGAGCAGATCGTCAGATCCTCACGCCAGAATTGATTTAAGGGAAATGGTGCAGGAAACCCCGATAAATGGGAAAACAACATGGGTTTCCATGGGTTTCCATGGGTTTCCCATGGGTTTCCCATGGGTTTCCCATAGGTTTCCCATGGGTTTCCCATGGGTTTCCGGTATATTTTCCCAAGCCCAGAGTCGGACTTTCGACAGGTGGTGAAGTTGCAGGGGTCCAGATGGGCCTCGGTGGCTGCCCAGGAGTGGGCGCATGGTGCCCTTACATTCCATAGGTTGTTCCATCATGATGATGTCATAGTTGGCAAGGGGAATCCTTTGAAAGATGGCTGACAGGCTGATGTTCATTTTATGTTTCTGGAGCAGATTTTTCAGATTTTTCGTGACACGTTTGAATTTGGCGCAGATCAATTGGTTGGTGGTGGCTGCAGGTACCGCCTGTAAACATGAGAACATCGTTTCTCATTTGGAGGCCAGAGCCGAAGAACCTCTCATTTGCTAAATTCCAAGAGGTTCTTACGCAAGTCAAGATTTGGTTCAAAGGTTCTCTACAGTCTGGGAATGCGTTCTGAGCAACATGTTTCAATCCAGTCACTACCTGCAGTGCACTGCATACACAGCTTCTGCAGAATTCTCCTTGGGCATGGCGAGGTTCTGATGCATCATGATAGCGAAGCTTATTTGGAGGGAGCCTTGACAGCAAATGGCTCACATGGCTTGCAGCATACCTCAGATGCCCCAACTGAAAAAATGGCTGAACTATGCTGAACCAGGCAAGATCATCCAGGCCTTCGATGATGGCACCTTCAGTGGAAGGAGGCCCAAAATTTTCCCTGACAGTGGGGGTCCCAGACTTTTCTCATCTTTTCTCCATCATCCGATGATCAATCGTAGAAGATAGTAGAAGGATGTTTATTATTATTCGTATATAGTTATTCTATGTTATTCTTATTATTTCTATATATTTCTATTCTTGTTTCTTATTCTTCTCCTTCTAATCATTATGAGACTTACTTTTTTCTGAACTTATATGGATGATATTTCCATGGCTCAGGATACATCTGCATGCTGATGGAGCACATGGACCGTGGCACGGTGCAACATCTTGCAGACAAAGGGCTGATCAACCTCGAAGGCACCTGGGAAAATCCATGGTTGGTGAACTGGTGAAGTAATGGATTGGTTTCAGGGAAAATCTTCACCGTAAACATCCGGATGTCCGGATTTTCCATGGATTTTCCCATTGAATATCTATAAGGCTTTTCCCGTAGATTTTCCCTTTTACCGATCCATTGAATCAATATATATAATATAATTAATTGAGGATTACCCTCCAGTGTCATCAGCTCCATGGCTGGCTGGGAAATCCCCGAATGATCCATGGAGGCGCTTGGTTCGTCGCCGGTCAAATCATCGGTCACTAAATGGTAATTTTCCATTGCCATGTTTGATTAATTGGGGGGTTACCCCCGAAGAATAGGTATCAAAAAGTATTGATCTGCTACTCTAAAATGGCACACCCTCATTAAGCAGGATTTTGGCTTATGGATTGTATGATCGGCGTTCGCATGGCAGGCTTAGCAGCCGTGGTCAGACAAGTTGGATCTGCTCTCGCTTTCATGCACAAGAGAGACTCGACGGAAGTTTTGGTGGCGAGATAATACACCAAGAGCAGTCAAGTCCAGAGGGTCTGCACCCAAACAGCAAAGTCGCAACAGGAAAGTCCAAGTGACCTTGCAGAAAGTGGTGCAGGGAACCTTGACGGATCTCCAGATTTCCTGAGCCTGACTTGATCTGAGGTAAACGAACTCACAACGATGTGAAGCCGGAAAACATTCTGCTGCTGCTCGGTGGAAGCTGCAGCGACCTGCTGACTTTGCCAGTTGCATCATCTGAGGAAGCAGGTGCCTGGAAGTTCTTCCCTCATTGCACCGAGCTCAGAACTGACCTTGGACATCCTTGGACTATACGCACTTCGATGGGCTATGGAAAGGGGAATGATGTGGGCTCGGTCAGCATTTTCTCCCGGACCCACATTTTTTTTTCATCTTATCAAAGCATCACATGGTGACCCACCCCCACATGAATCGTGTGAAGAAGATGAAGCTTCCACGGCAGGTGAAGTTAGCTGACCTTGGCCTGGCTCAATGCTCTGTGGAGCGAGAACGAGATATGGTGCCCTGGCTGCAGTGAGCAAAAGGATCCAAAGAAGTTTGGGCTCCACTTGATTTTGAGGACTTGCCGGAAAAACACGGCTATTGGTTGGACTTTTCCACTCTACCATCAAAAAACATTTCTGGTCAGAGTCGCCATTCAAATTTTGGATGCATTCTGGTCAGAGTCAGGAGCTGACGGCGTATACCTTCTGGTGCATCGGGCTTGGAGAGACGTGACTGGCTTAGTTCCAGAGTCGGTCCAAACACGTTTAAACATTAAACCGTTTAAACTTCAAACCGTTTAAACACGTTTACAGCCATGATCCAGGAAATGTTTAAACGTTTAAACATATATGTTGTGGGGCATTAGTTCTACGAACGCCTCCGATTGGCCTTGGCTGTTTTCAAGGGTATCTGGGATTACCCGAGAGGATAATGACACATGGCCAGCTGGGAAATCCACGAACGAAATGGGCATTTGAATGGGACTATCATTTAAATGAATATTTATGAATATCATGAATATCAGAATAGCAGAATTACCATCAATCTCAAACATGGTTGAGTTTCCATTGCCATGTTTGATTACCAGAGGCTATTTTTGCGATGAGGTTTGAACATGTTCCAGCCTGGCCAGATCGGCAGAGTGCTGCCGAGCGTTTTAGGCAGCATGCACTACCTCAGGACATCACAGCCACAAATAACACAAATAGCAAGCAGATTGCCTGGAAAAAAATGACCATTGGCGATTTCCGTGTTGTGATACCTTGATTATCCATGATTATCCTTGATTCTTTGAAAAAAGCTTGCAGGACCCTCGAAGAGATTTGCGCAGGCTGGCTCTGGGCGTTTGCAAATCGGTCTCCCCGTTTTTGGGATATATCAATCCAGCGGAAACATTTGCTAAGCCTGCATCCTGCTGTTGTAATCCTGCTGGCAAATTGAACATGGAGGCAATACAAGACCTTTGGGCTCTCTCCACCAGTATGGCGTCAGTGGCAGCCACGGAGGCCGTTTCTGCCACCCACCATGAAGATTGATGCTGAACTTGTGCACGAATGTCCTTGGCCCAGGAGTTTCAGAAGGCGGAACTGGTGGTGGAAGTGGAAAAACACGAACAGATTGCAGCCAATGCCAAGCGGGTCCGCTGTCTATCGCTGGGTTGCATTGGGTCTGCTGAGATCTACTGAGTTTACTGTTCCTTTGGAAAAACAGGGCAATCGACTTTCTGGAAGAGGAAGAATTCATAGTATATGTAAATTGTATAATGTATATATATATATATATTATAGTGCAACCAACCAGAATGGGTAGGGTTCATCATGATGGGCTGATGCCTGCCTCCATTACAATTAGGTACCTGTAGATGATAACTGAGGGTTGTTCTTCCATTCCCCAGCAGCAATGATTTTGTTACGACGAGGAGCTGAGCAATCGAATGGAAAGAACTGCCTTGCTCTGGAAAGCGGTTCACATGGTTAGCGCGGTCCGAAAATGGAGCGAAGAAGTGGACTACCAAGGACTTGCAATGCGCTATCAAGCAGAGGAATTTGTATTTTTTGTTTGTTTTGGCAGTTTGATTTCTCATCTCATCCATTTTGTGCTTTGCAAGCATGCTAGTGGTCTCAGCTTGCAGGATGGCACTAAAATGGAGCTGGTTTGCAAAGACGATCTCAGCCCCGGCAGTGAAGCTCAGGGAGAACTTACCCTGTGGTGGATTCAATTTCATTGTCAGCGAAGCTGAGTCCGGTGAGAGGCGGTCGGCCCGTTTGGCCAGGCCTTTTGAGTTAACGACGTTAATGAATTGCGTATTGCGGCTTTATGGGGCCTCTTGAAGGCCGTCTGTGTCATCTACGCAAAGGTGCTCTTCGCATTGAAAAAGCGGTAGAACGTTAGCAGCTTCTTATGCGGCCATGAAGTTGCCAGGAACAACCTGCGTTCTATTTGAGAAGTCTGTTCAAGAAACCGTCTAATGTTGCGTGCAGACCTGACAACCTTGGCTCAAATTGGATACGACAAACAAAAAATCTCCCACCCAGAATGAGAGTATGTAAACTCAATAGTCCAATGAAGAGCTCATGTTTGTACCAAAAAGTCACATTCTTGCTTGTGTTTTGATTCGAGCTGTTCGGACCAACCGCAACAGAAAACGAAGAAAAACACAGGAAAGTGATAAAGAGTCATGAATAGTCAACATGCCTTTCACCAAGAAAGTCACATGACATTGCATACTTTTGCTTCTACGATGTCCATGTAGTGTTTGGCTTTGTCACTGGCTTGGCAGCATGCGCAACAAGCTGGGGAGATCATCGTGGTTGAAATGGAACAGCATTGGTAGCAGTTCTTGGCCAAGCCAGTGGGCATTTGCTCCTTGCTGTGGCCAAGTTCGCATAGTAGGCTTAGTAGGCTATCTCTTTGCATATCTCAGACTGAATGCAATCGTTTTACCCTCCCCCCAGGGGCTCAGGTGACTCAGGTAACAGTGCAGAGCTGCCGCCAAGTCAGCCTGGTGTTGGGATACCAAGGCGTGGCCATTCGGGACTTGTATCACAGGCAGCAGCTGCTGCTGTCGCTTCGGGATCTGGCACTGGCCAGGCTTCATATTGTTCTCCGGGACTATGGCTTGGCAGTGACCGCTCGGGTTTGGGACAAAGTTCCAGTCTGCCCTGGACAAACACCAGGACAAACAGCACAAACCACGGCAACCAGGCAAACAAAAAGGGACGGGCAAACAAGCCGCAGGGTCAGCTTATTGGGGATAGCCTTGAGGTGACATACCAAGAGCGTTTGACTGGCTTTGGGCCTCATCAAGTGAGCGAACTGGTAGAGTTGATCGAAGCCAGGCATACGCAGTTCAGTGCCTTGAGTTTATGTACTGCACTACATAGACTAGCTACTGGAAGCCTTTCCAGCTTGGGGAAGGTCGAGCACCGCTGTGCAGGTCTCATATCAACCTTGGAGATACAACTTCGCTTGCAACCAGATCGTTTCAGGGCACAAAGCATTGCCAACGCATGCTGGGCAGTTGCTAAGCTTCCATGGGCGAAGCCATTGCTTCCAGTCTTGCTGGAGACTGCGGCGCGTCGCATGCAGCAGTTCAAAGGTCAAGAGCTTTCACTACTCCTTTGGAGCATGGCCACCAGCGAAAGCAAAATGCAGGGTGCAGTTGCAGATGCAACAAATGGAATTGTGCAGGAGTTTCTTGAGCGCGGCAGCTCAGCATTTGATGCACAGAGCACTGCCACCGTCGCATATTCAGCTGGAGCTTTGCTTGTGACACATGAACCACTGTGGGATGCTATTGGAACAGGATCTGCGAGCCGTGTTTCCGAGTTCAGCGACAGACAACTTGCGAATCTGGTATGGGGTTTCGCTACGGTTTCCTACGCTGATTGCACAGTGGTCTTTGAACGTGTAGCCAAAGAAGCGCCCATTGCTACGCTTGCACCCATTGATCTAAGCCTGGTTGCTTGGTCATTGGCCAAAGTGTCCCAAGGAGAACAAGATTTTTATGATCAAGTGGCAGATGCAATTGTTGCAAAACATGAAGCCTGGAAATATAGCGACACGCGGAACATTGCGACGCTGTTGTACTCCCTAGCATTAGCAGAACAGGCTGTCAGTCACCAGTCTGCTTTCCATGAGCTTGCGATGGCAGTTTGTCAAAGGACCAAGGAGTTTAGTGTGCAGGGTCTTACAAATGCAGTTTGGGCATACTCTACAGCCTGTTACATTGAAGAGCGTTGGTTCAATATCGTTGGAAAGGAAGTAGTTCAGAGAAGAGACGATGAATTCGAACCTTTGGATGTAGCAAACACTCTTTGGGCATTCGCTGCAGTTTTGCATCATGACAGTAACGTGATATCTCGCTTGACAAGCTTGGGAAAGGTAATGATGTCAGAGTTGTCAGCGCAAAATCTAGCCATCACAGCCTGGTCACTGGCTGCATTGGAAACGCGCGATGTTTCATTTTTTAAGCAGGCAGCAGATCCATTTGTACTTCGACTCCAAGAATGCAAAGCCCAAGAGCTCAACAACATGCTTTGGGCTTACGCAACTGTAAACTTTCGACTGCCATGGCTCTTCTTGAAATCTGCCAACCATGCGATCAGTTTAGGACTGGCGGAATTCAAAACGCATGAACTTTCCATTATGCTCTGGGCCCATGGCACCGCTGGGGTTTGCAACCATGAATTCTTTGACCAAGTTGTAGACGAGATCTTAGGTGGAAGAGGGATTCACAGCTGTGCGCCGCGAGAAATTGCGAACTCTGCTTGGGCTTACAGTACAATCATTGGACGGTGTCATGTGCCCTGGATGACAGCAGTCGCCCAGTACTCGCGCAGTCATGTCAATGAATTCGACATGCAAGGTATTGGCAACATCCTTTGGTCCTTTGCCAACGTTTCCACCTATAGTGAAGCCTTATTACATAAGGCCTGTGAGGAAACAGCCAGGCGCTGCTATAAAGATGAAGCATCCCACAATGTGGCGCAGGTGTTGAGTGCGATGCAAGCTGCAGGCCTTCAAGAAGTCAGACTTTGTGAAGCGGCTATTGATCTCTTTCTCCGTCGCGGCTTTGTTGGTGGCATTGGAGCTCGGGAATTTTTGATCCTGGGCAATGCTGCTCTGCCAATGGCAAATATCCTGCACGAACGGTGGACCAATCTGAAGGCATTGCTGGAGGAACATATCTTTCGTCCACTGACGGAGGCAATACCCCCCAGACATGGCATGGCAGATTGGTCTCAAGTGGAGACCTGCATCTCACAGCTAGACATCGATCATTTGGGAGTTGGTTTCACTGCAACATTTTTGAAAAATATTGGTGTCTTAGGCTCAGTGCAAGTTCACCAATCCAGCCACATAGGCTGCAGCTGGATTCAAGAAGCAGCACAGGCCTGTGCGCTGGAACGAGAGAGGGCTATCCAAGCTGGGGCTGAAGAGAATGCTCCTGCTGAACAACAAAAATTGGTGAGACAGCTTGATAAGGTGAACAAGCGCGAAATTGTTGCGTGGGTTCGGTATCAGATTTCCTTGGATGGTCTCAAACATGCGGAACATGGTCGGGCATTTAGTTGGCGCTTAGAAGCAGAGATGTCCCAAACGCGCGTTGCGCAGCTGTTGAAGCCGATGATGACGAAGAGTCGTATGGCCCCAAATATGATCGGTGAACATGACCGCAGTGGGCATGCAGAACGCTGCGCCCTGCTTCAAGTTGCCTCTGACTGGCTTCAAACTGGCCCTGAAAGGGGGCTGGAGGTACATGGAGAGATGTTCCTCTACGTCACGCACTATCCATGCGTGTCATGTGTTTTCGTCATAGCTCAATTCGCGCGTTTATTTCCACATCTTTCGTTGCACCTGGCTTATGCAGATGGCAGGGCCATGCACACCCAACCCTTGGAAAGAAAAGCGTGAACCGTAGTAATTACAGGTTGACCATGATCACATCCAATTCAAGAGTCCATTGATGTCTTCTTCTATTAGTATCTTCTTCTTATTGCATAATGTTCACATATGATTAGCACACAGGTGCACAATAAAGAAAGTTTGCTAACCCTCTGGTCCAGATGAGTAAATTGCCCATAAAGTACGTTTTTTTTTTGTTTTTTGTTGCATGTTGGATCCCGTATTTTTACGTAGAGGTTTCTATATTTGGAACTCATGCGCCATATTCAACCTTATTATTTAACCTCTAAATCAAATGCACTCAAATTTGAACTCCCAAAAGCTTTCATGAATAGATTTCTCAATTACAAGAACATACAAGAACGCTTCACCTGCCTGCATGGGGGTTCTGGAAAACTCCGTTTGGATGACGACTAGATTTTTTTAAAAGGGTTTATTGATCTGACGTCAACATTGGGGTTGAACATAGAGCACATATATATATATATAAACATACAATTACATATATATATATACATATAGAGCAAAGGTGAGCAAAGAAGCAAAGAGACTCAGATACAGTACAGCTTTGACGAACTGAGCCCCATGTCAGGAAAAACAAATCTGAGTGTGGTAGCGAGCTAGAACTCCGCATCATGCCCTTCCCGAACTGCCCCATTCTCAATCTGAATGCATTGTACACCTACATGACTACGGCAGGATGCTATCAAGACATCATGGGGATTCACAGGGTGATAGAGGTGTCGAATGGAACCCAGGTTCGTTCAAGCGATGGAACATGATGGAACAAAAAATATGAATGAAGTTTTGTTATGCTGAGATATGTTTAGTGCCCTTGTCTTCAAACGTGCCTGTAAAGCATACAGCATACTTGTAGATTCTACTTCATGCAAGCGGTCATCACACAAGGGCACTAACATGGCATCATTGGTAGGGTCAGCTGCGAGTGGCTCGCAGAAGAGACTGGATGAGTCAACTTATACAGTTATACATGTCATAAGACAGTTCTCTCCTCCTTTCTGTTGGAACTCTGCAATTTTTTAAGCGAGGGCTGCTGTTTATTTGCAATGGGCTGTTTCATAGCAAAAACCAGACTGATATGTCTGATAATTTTGATTTGATGTCTCTGTTAGATGTCTTTTGCCAGCCCAGCGCAGCAAAAACAAGTGCTTACAGCATCTAGCAATAGGACGAACATATGCGAACATGATGTATCCCCGCAATATCACTGACATTTACACGATGTTTTAAGTGGCCATTCGCAAATAAGCATTTCTTGCAGTGATACGGAAGTACATGTTTATTTTGCGCCGTGCCATCTTCGTTGCTGGACCTCAAGTGATGATATTATGTGATTCAAAACGGTGTGTTGTGACCAATTAACTTAGGCACAACAAATCCATTTGGAAATCTGGAATCCACATGGCATGGACCGCCTGGTGCCTACGGTCTATCGGGACAGCCTTCCTCCCGCTTTTGCAAATCCTGGACACTGGTGCTGGTTCAATGCTGTATTGCAGGCATTAGCCAGCATACATGACCCCAGGCCCAACCGGCGGGTTAGGTCCAACCCTTGCGAGTGAGCGCAGAGCTTCGCTGCTCTTGTCAAGACTCAAGACATTGGCTGAAACAGACACTTATTCCAGAATCTGCTAGTGACGCTAGTGAACCGGCAAGTTGAGGGGCATCAATTTACCACTGCATGCTGGGGGACGCATGCAGGTGGTGGAGCGTGCTGAAATCGGCGAACCGTCCTGATGCTGAAGCATCCAAAGGGGACACTGAAAGTTTCGGTCAAGCGCCCAAAGATGTATTTTGGCTCCAAGGAAGCAAGGTCGACATATTTGGCAGGTTCTGTGGTAGGAAAGTACACCCAGGTGTTTAGTAGAAACAGTTTGTGAATCCTAATGATGTCATGTTTCAGATCAGCAGCATCGTTCACCCAGTTTGCTCCACCCTTAGCAAATCCATCAGAAGGTGCTGCACTTGCTACTTCTGTTGCCAAGGTACTGGCTTGCTTGGCTTCTGTGCTTTTGTATTTGAATGGCGACCTAGATGATGGTCTTCCACAAGTGTCAGAGCTGGCGATTGCCATTCAAGAGGAGCTGGGCAGCTGGGTGCGGAAAACTCTCAGCCAAGAGTTCTCTACTCGAATGTGTCCCCAAATATTCGTAAATATCAGAGGACACCATTGGCAGACTTGATACACTGGATACGATCTTAGTCATCCCTACTTCCGGCCGAATTTTCGACATCCCATGAAAGAAATTTAGCAGGGCTGCCGTGGAGGAGTGTGGCATCTCTTCCATTTCTGGTGAACAGCAAGATGCCCATGAGGCTCTTGTGAAGTTACTAGAGGCTGTCTATGTTGGACTCAGCCACTTGGCACAACGAGCTTTGGTTTCTTTCGTTGTCTTTTGTTCAGCAGGAAAACTGAAAACAATTAACAAGTCGACAAATAGCAGGCTCTGTAGATATGGGTCAAATTATGTCAAAAGATCAGCTCCCGAATTCTAAAAGTGACAAGGTTTGTGGATTGTGAGTCCATTGGTGCCACAACTGCCAGATACCCTGAGGCAAGCGCAAGGTGGCCGCATTTCAGAGGCTGAAGCCTTGGGACCCAATGAGGCCCTATTGGCTCGGCAGTCCGAACTTTCTCCACTTCTGTGGCTGGGCAGGGAAGTGTCTGGTCGCTCTGGGTGGCTGAAAAATCCCGCCAAGTCGTGCAACCAGTGTGGACCGAACGTCAAATGAGCAATGCCCAGCCGCCCAACAGACCTCCCTATACATTACATTAGCAAGTTTGGTATGTTTGGTTCTAAAATCTATGGCACATCTATGAAGAATCTGTGGATTCCCCATGATTCCCCGAGGTGAAGCATCAGAAGCACTTCAACACTTCCAGGCCATATGGAGTTTTGATGAGTTTTGGATAGTGGGAAGGTTTCACCCACTGGTCTTGAGCCAATCTGGGTATGGCTGAAAAGTGAAGACCCAGCTACCCCCATTTCCATCCATTTCCCAGCCATATCGCTATGCGGCAGCCCCGTTTTGTCCGCCACAGGATCTGTTTGAAGGGGTCCTGGAAGAGAGGCGACTTTGTCGGAGCTGTGGCCTGGTCAGGGTGCCTTGGAGGCAGCATTTTTCCGAAAAGGTTCAATGATGACTTAACCAACAGTGGTGGAGTATAATGGGGATATCATGGGAATAATATAACTTGACTATGATATACTATAAATTACTATAATATCACTTGATGGGAATTTGGAATCTGTTCTTTTTTTGCAAGAGTGTCTTGCATCGGCCTGGCTGTTTACCTCTCTGACATACGATTCAACTGAGGTGGAAAGTTGCCCTTCGAAGCAGGCCTTCCGTTGTTGCTTCAGCTGAACGTTGAGAAAGTTTGTTTCTGACCTGTTTCAAGGCATTCCGCATTTCCAGATATTCGCGCATGCTCTTGTATTCTTTTTCTGGCGCTGTCCAGAGTGATGTGGATGTACTCTTTCTGTGCATTAAAAAAAAAATTAGGCTTGTGCATCCATGATTCATCAGTTTGCGGTGTGTTGGACCATGTTGGACCCCACTCCAGCAGATTGGACGTCCATGTCCCAAATTTACAGTGGTCAAATTCCCAAGTTTTGGTGCATAAAAACCTCCCATTTTGTTCATGGATGGTTCATGGTGAAATCCCCGCCCGAGGTTTGTCTCTGGATCTGATCCAAATGAATCACCCGCACTTTTCCAGCGTGAGCCTTGGCTGCGGTAGGCCTTGGAGCTGGATTTTTCACCGGTGGATGGGTGACTTTTGAAGGGTCAAACAGCATTTGGCTTTGTCTGAAAACCAAAAAAGGTCCGTTTTAATGGGAACACTGATGCTACCTAGTTTCTGAAAATTGGAGGTGCCCCATTTTCAGCGCCATTTGCGCTTAAAAGCCATTTGGGAACACACTTTTGCAGCCTGATAGATAAAACGCCCCCTGTCATGTTTTCTGGGCATCTCCCCGACACCCAACGGTTCTGAGGCTAAAGGCTTCTGTCCCTACTGGTTGACAGCGGTTTCAAAGATGTTCTTCGTTTCATCCTGATGATTATGATTATGATGATGATGATGATGATGATGATGATGATGATGATGATGATGATGATGATGATGAGGCTTATTATATGTTATTATACTGGTCGTGATCCCAGCTGAACACATCATATTTTCAGGATTATATGTGGCTCAAACATCAAAGTTGATGCAGGAATTTGGTGAACTTGCTGGGCAGCTCCTACGGTGGAAAACCCACGGAAGAGATCGACGGTTTGGTTTGCGACCGTTGCTCTTTGGAGGCCTCCCTTCGCTGCTCGGCTCCCATGCTCCCATGCATTCCAGCGGATCGATGGGAAAGATCAGGAGGAAATTGAGTCAACATGCCAACATGCCAACATTTGGATGTTTGGATATCTTGAGGCAACCACATACACAATCATACACATAGATATACTCAAAAAACACATTTTGATCTTTTCAAAACACATTTTTTGAACATCCACATTTTGTAGCCATCAGCTGCCACGAAGGTCGCGCGCTGTTGGACTCCGGCGCCTCGATCTTCGCTGCCCGTGCGTGTCATCGCTTTGCAGCGCTGCTGGAGGCGCATGCTGCTGGTGCCAGGCTGCCAGATATGGAGGGATTGGAAGCGCTACGACCTGTGGCTGCTCCTCCCTGTGTCCTCTGGCAGAATTGTGGCTATATGTATGCATAACTATATACTGTGTATAATGTGTACATATGTGTGTATATATATATATATATTATATATGTGGTAATTGTGATTGGTTAATCATGACTATATTCTATATACATGCTTATCATATCTTATCATATTTATTCATGTCATATATGCACATATCATATATATATATATACACCGGTTTCATTGGATGGACGCTTTTCTCTTTGTGCATTGATGATCATGGATTATGAGCAATGCTAAAGCCTGCAGTACAACCATCGATCTTCGGGAATTTCAGAACTGCCTGCGTCAGAGGTACTGAAACGTCGCAGCCACGTACGATCCTTTCGCATCAGAGTGGCCCCGCGGATCTTCACCTTTCACATGCGCAGGCTCATTTTCGGACCTTTCGGCTTCATCAAGGTGGGAGCTGAGCATCCAAATTGGGACCACCTCTGCCAATGTCATGGTAGTAGTGTGAATCCCTGGGTTGGTGCACTAAGTCACTAAGCACACACTTTTGTACAGAGGCCGAGATAACGGTTCTCTCCGCCATCAGAGAAGCTACTTCACAGTATTTGGATGTATTTTGCACATCAGCAATTCATAGCAATTCCATGTTGCAAGTTGGCTGAAACTGATTGAGACATCCAGATTGGAATTCACCCGGATCCTGGAATCCATTCACCGGATCAGGTCAGCAATCCTGTCCGCTACCCTGAGATCTTGAATGACCTGGGTCTTAGCGCTGGCTACGGCTTGTGCTCTGTGATGTCCCACTTGGGGCATGCGACGGAGGGTCACTTCATCACCCACAGAGTATCTTGGCATGATGAAGTGAACTATATTGACTGCAACTGCAACTGCAACGCCTTTTTCGCTTCACAACCGAAGTGCCAAGTCTTTGGAGTTCTTGAGAGCAGGTGAATTGTGCGTTTGATTTAAGCGCTTACGCGCGACAGCCGGCCAGGGGCCCAACTATGTAGGCCCATTTTGTGGCTATGCTGGCCTATGTTGGCCTATGTTGGCCTATCTTGCGGGCAATGTGGGC